TACAAATCCTTTGGCAGGTAAAACAGCTCCATTATACTGTATGTATTTCATGTGTGTATTTATCTGTTTGCCCGGAGTTCACCCCTAATCCATTTCATATGCCATGTGGCTGACCTTTATACATTCATAATAACAACTGTATGCAGAAAAAGAGTATTCAGAAATAATAACAGATATTGATAAGATTGTTTACATGGAGCTGATTACTTCTTTTTACAGGTCTATCTGTAGTTATAAAAAGACTAAAGTTCAGTTATAATGGGGCATTCCAGTTCACAGCATTTGAAAGAGTCAAAACTACCTTGCTGTAATATATGTATATATATATATATTATACAGGGCTTGAAAAATCCACTTGTCCGCTTGTCTGTGACGAGAGGACGGTGGAGCCCGACGAGCAGCTTCCCGGCCGTTGTAATTACACGGCCGGCCGGGTGCTTTACATTCAAATGATCAAGCGTCTCTATCGCTCAATCGCTTGTATTAGCAGCTGTCACTGCCGTTGCCGGGCCTCGAGATCCGCTGTGCCCGATGCGGCCGGGACCAGCACGGCTCTGTGACAGGAGATCAAAGGGAGTTCAGTATACGATCTCCCTTTGATCTTCTCTCAGTCCCCGAATGCAGGAAGTGATGTATATTACATCACTTCCTGCATTCAGTGTCACTCTTCCAGCTACAGAAGCTGATGAAGCAGATCTCTGCTTCATCAGCTTCTCTGGGGGTCCCTAGGTGACTTTAGAGGTCTTGGAGACCCCTGATGTCTCCATAAAGAGGACCAGTCATGTAAATTGGCTATCACATAGGCGGCTTCTTAGCCCCCCATGTAATAGCAATAAAGTTGCGTGTAAAAAGAAAAAAAAAGTAATACAAAAATTAAAGAATCATAAAAAAGATAAAGAAGCATAAAAAAAATGTAAAAATATTTTTTTTAAGTCCCCGCCCCCACATACACAAGCAGATATGCGTTGGGTGCGCCTACGTGGGAAAACGACGATTGCGCCTATTGTGCTGCACATGTTACATATCGCCGCAAACGTCGAAGTGAGAGCAATCATTTTAGAGCCATTAATCACTGATACCACTAAACTGATGAGCAGTAAAAGCGTTTTAATCGCTGCATATGGGCATTTTTTTTGCGGTCAGCAATAGTCAGCTCTGCTGTACAGGACTTGCCCCATGAAGGGACTGATATGATTACACCTGTTTCTGCTACTGTCAGCTCCTCAGAGGCGGGGCCAGGGCGATCTCTCAAGCTTATTTCCTGCCATCATGCAGGAGAGACAAAGGAGGGTGTTTTTGGGGGGCTAGTTTCTGCACTGTTCACATCTGAAAATGAATTGTTACCAAATGGGCCCATTCCTACCAATACACTGCATTGCATTGCCATAGCTGCCACTTGTCCCTCAGTTTGAGCCACTGTTGGAACCAAGTCCCTATTTGCTCCTGATTCGTTCCTTTTTTTTTTTTTTTATGCATAGACCTCTATAAAAAAAATTAAAGCGGAACTCTATTGTGGTATTGCGTGGCAATACCACAGTGTTCGGTGGCCTCAAAGTGACCCAGAATTCTCAGCCAGAGGGGCTGAGCGGCTCCAGGACGCAATAGCTTGTATCAGGAAAGAGCGGGCTTTTCAGTCCTTTCCATGTTTTCTTGTTCATAGTTGGGATCCAGGAGATTTCGTCCCACTCAGAGCTCTAAGAAATCTCCCGGCACCAGGATCCCAACTATGAACAAGAAAACATGGAAAGGACTGAAAAGCCCGCTCTTTCCTGATACAAGCTATTGCGTCCTGGAGCCGCTCAGCCCCTCTGGCTGAGAATTCTGGGTCACTTTGAGGCCACAGAACACCGTGGTATTGCCACGCAATGTCACACCATGTAGATATAAAATACACAAATGAATGCAGATCTGTGTTCATTAATGCACCCCTAATATTTTTAGATGCAAACAGTGTAAGTGACTGAAATTAACCTGGTATCAGCCTCTTGTAGTCCCTATACAGCAGAGCTGGGAGAAGGAGAAGCAGCACAAGGAGCCAATAAGTTTTTTCTTCAGTGCAAGGAGCATGCTGATAGTTGGAGAACAGAGTGCCAGAGAGATGAGCTGATCAGTCTTCTGCTTCTCTTTCCAATACCCAGTCACAGGCTGGGGGAGGGACAAGACCTGAAATAATGGCTGAACAGCAGCAGTAAAAACAAATCAGCTATTCTGCTCTTCCTGACAGAGCTATGCTGTGTGGCAGAGCTGTGTAAATCTCAGAATTGGATTACATTTGACAGGTAAAACAGCCCCCTAAACTGTCTTTGAAGGTTCTCATTCATCCAGGTCATGGTATATCTGTAAAAAATAAGTCAAGGCAACTGGACTTGCTGTATTTTTCTTGAAGACGTTGGATGACCAGTGAAACGTCTTAAAGAAAAATACAGCAAGTCCAGTTGCCTTGGCTTATGTTTTACAGATAGCCCCCTAAACTGTATTCTATATGTGTATTTGGGTCTTTGCCTTGAGTTCAACTTTAAATACCAAACATTTTACCCTACTCTAAAGGTTTCCTCCAACCTCTATATCTGAGGTAGGCAAATTGCATTGGGAAGAAGAGATTCAATGCCCTGTATTTGGCATTCAGTTGAGTTGAGCTCCTTTCCTATCAGCGTGACAAGATACATGCTAGAGCCGTCGGGGTGAGTGAAAACCTGAAACAAACATTCCTAATGTAAACATGGATGACTTGTTATATTAATATTGCCTTTATGTGTGTGTCAGATGCGTGAGTTTTCCATTTCCGTCATGAGTCAGCAAACTCAAGATCCCCTGGGCCAAACTTTTCCACTAACACTTCCCTATAGGGGAGCATATAAAATGCTGGAGGGATCACAAGTTCCACTCACCCAGGATATTCTGAGCTAGGTAAGCATATAACAGAAGATCGTGTTTCATCCACAATGTAAGTAGTACAAGGAGTCTAAAATGTCTAAAGGCGGATGTTTGCGTTTCACAGCTCTACTCATAAAGCAGGTCTAGGAGAAATACATTTATATACATATATATTTATATTTTTTCCTCAACCATGCAGTAGAAACGTAATTGACTCTAAAATACTGTATGACATATTGAAGACTAACACCATTCAAGTTGTGTGGGGATTTGGAGGAGAGGGATATCTCTAGCATAAGGATCTTCTTGCTGGAGTTCCTCGCTGTGGCCATCCATCATGAAACCAAGCAAGGGTTGGTCCCCAAGCCCTCAGGAGAATACAATTATTGTACAAACCTTAAACTATCATAAACCTTTTCCAAGAGATAAAGTATATTGGACCTATGAGTGGTGACCATTGTCTGGAAATGCTGGTTGCCTAATATGTTGTCCATCTGGTTCATAAAGTTGAAGGTTCAAATTGGCTTTTGAAGCTTACCATCCATCACTTGTGGTTCTGGGAAGGTCACACTAGGGTTAGGTCCTCTAACTATAGACTGAGCTAGATCTCTGCTGTGAAGAATACAGTTTAGCCAGGGGTAAAATGTATTATTACTATTTCTTCAATACGGGAGTGACATGGCTGATGAAAGCATGCAAGATTACAGCAAACAAGGTTGAATATTGGCTTAGGCAATGGCAGCTTAACTGCTCTTTTATGGACAATAGGCAATGAGAGAGATGCTCCTGTAAAGTATCTCCTTCCAGTCTTATACTGCTAGGGATTTAAATGTTGAACAATATGCCCTGCTGGTTCTATGGCCAATGCTGAAAAGTCAAGCCTATTTGATATGTCAGTTTTGAGTAGATGTTAGAAGCTGATTCCCATTTGGGGTCTTTCGTGTATTTCTAGCTCTACCCAGGCTGCTTCCCAGTTCCTTTTGGATATTTCATTACTATATCATTCTACAGACAGCAACAGAAGAGGTGTGAGTGACCTGAGACCTTCCTCCTTTTTGTAGGACCTGAGACTTGGCTTCTACAGCAGAAAAGGGAAGAGTGACCTAAGACATCAAGCCTGCTGTAGAAACGGTGGGAATAACCCGAGACCTCCCCTCCTGCAGTAGAAGAGGTGTAAGTGGTCTGTGGCCTCTCCTCTTGCAGCAGTAGAAATGTGAGTGTCTTGAGACCTCACTTCTGCAGCAGAAGATGTGTGAGGGACCTGAGACCTCACTCCTGCAGCAGAAGATGTGTGAGGGACCTGAGACCTCACTCCTGCAGCAGAAGATGTGTGAGGGACCTGAGACCACACTACTGCAGCAGAAGAGGCTTAGGTGACCTGTGGCCTCTCCTCCTGCAGCAGGAGAGATGTGAGTGACCTGAGACCTCACTTCTGCAGCAGAAGATGTGCAAGAGAACTGAGACCTCACTACTGCAGCAGAAGATACGTGAGAGACCTGAGACCTCAATCCTGCAGCAGAAGAGGTGGAAGTGACTTGTGGTCTCTCCTTCTGCAGAAAGAGAAGTTTGAGCGACTTGAAACCTCCTTTCAGCAGGACAGGTGTGAGTGACCTTACATCTCCATCCTGCCTGCAGCAGGAGAGGTGTTACTGCCCTGTGACATCCTTTCCTGCGGCAGCACAGGTAAGAGTGGCCTGTGACCTCTGCTCCAGCAGAAGGGAAGATGTGAGTGACTGGAAACCTCCCTCCTGCAGTAGGTGAGGGGTGATTGGCCTCCACTCTTACAGTAGGAGAGGTGTAGGTGACGTGTGACCTTCCTACAGCAGCAGATGTGTGAGATTCCATGATGGCATATTAGAGACAGATACTTCAATAGATTTTCCCAAAGAAGTCCCTAGGTGATATAAAAAGCCAGTGTGAAGTTTAATTCATTATTACCACCAATAACTGAAACATCTTTTTAAGATGACCTGCCCATCTATATAGTAAAAAAACCAGGATAATTTAAGATGGCCTTGAGAATAAAGAATTCAGTAGTGGTGGGGAATTCTATTGGTTGCTATCGATTAGTGCATTTTTGTACATGGCCAGATATAAATGCAATACTTTGTGTTTTTCTACAGGAAAATGTATTGGATTTGCCTACTGTCTATTGTGCTTCCATTGGTGAGGAGCTCCCTGTACTCTGATGACATACTAGACTCAGAATGGAAACTGTGGAAGAAGACCCATGGCAAGCAGTATAACAGCCAAGTAAGTGTTTGTCTTGGACATAGTTCTAGCAAACTAACAATTGCTAGAACATTTTGGATACTCTTTAATTTTCATTACAACTATATTGGTACTGACTTACTTGATTTAACTTTTTGGAGGGGGATGACTCACGACACTTCAACTTGAGCTACCATACACCTTTTTTTGAAAGAGCAGCCAAGAGCAAACTTGTGAAGCAAAGCCAAAGGAAGGGTAAGCCCAGAACTGGGCGTTAGCACTAACCCTTAACCTGACCATACTCCTAAACATAATCTTCACCCTTAAGCTAAAGGTACCCCTAAACCCTTGCTTAAACTAAACATATATCAGAACATAACCTTACCCCAGATCTTAAACCTAGTACAAAGAGAAATAAGCTACTAGGCCAATAATGCCTCCAATGTAAGATAGACAATTAGTGTGATGAAATCCATGATGCAGATAATTCTATGTTAAAAACGAAAGACCTTTGGCCTATGAGGTCATGTAAGGTCTATAAGGTCACAGGAATCAACCAATGTCGTAATCCATCCCTTACCATCTACAGTATGTCACTGCAGGACAAAGTAGTAAGGTAGTGTGTTAGGGGAAGGAACCAAAGCAATCATGGCAGGGGAAACAGGTATCCAACACTCTTGGAGGTATCAAATGCTGAAGATTCTGATGGCGGCTGTAGAGCTTCAATGAAGCATAGACTAGAGACTCAGCCTGCAGGAATGGTATGTATAACATCCCTTATTTTGCAGGAAGCTGTGTGGAGGATTTTTTTTCACAAGTGTCTTTTTAGATTTCAGGAGCTTTAATTTTCTTCTGTTTGCCAGTGGATATTTTCTTCCAGTTCTGAGCCATGGTCAGGAGCCAGACCGGTGTGCAGAGAGAAGTACTTGTTCGGCTGTCGCTGCCTACTCCCCTGTCATAGCTCTGGCCAAAAGCAGTGATCCACTAATAAACATTGGATGAAAGGTCCTGAAAGTTAAACATTTTTGAAGTCTTCTGCATAAGTCAGCAACTAGTGTGGAAGAGAAGCTAAGCCAATTTAAGAACGGAGAGGTGAATTTAAAATTAGCTACCTAAAAGTGAACATGACAGATGAAGGTTATGTTTGAGGATGGGTGCAGAAGTTTGCTAAATTTTGCACCAGCCCCTGTGGTTTTTACACCACGGGAAACCTCTTTGGTGTTGCTATGAATGATAAAGTAAATCTGTGCTAAGACCCGTACTCCTTCTAAAAACTAACAGTTGCCTAGTCTTCATGTTGACCCAATGGCTTCTAAATTTCAGATCAATTAGCATGCAGATACTTCTGGTTTCACTCTGCATCATTGAAAACACTTAAGTCACGGGACATAGTAGTTACTGGCATTTTTTATTAGATCAGCATTGTCATCCTATGTTTTTCTCTCTGCACAGTCTTCCTTTGTGAAAAGGGGTCATTCTGGTATCCCAATAAGCTTCTGCTCAGACTGTTAGACTTATTATCATCAACTGGGCAAAGGGTCAGTCAATTCAGTTTGTTACATTGACAACTTGATCCATCTTTTCTTGCCACTTATATACCTATCTTAACATACAACATCTCATGACAAATAATATATCCAATGACCATTTTTTCATTTTCTTATGCTTTGATTAACATTTACAACAACTGGGACAAGAGACCACCCTTTCCACCCTTCCACCTGTAACTTATTGTGGTTGCTTATTTCCTTTAGCAGATAAAAAAAAACAACAAAGGAATAACAAAGAACACAAAAGCTTCAAACTATATATATATATAATTATTTCTTTTCATAAGGTCTCCTAGTCAAAGGCCTAAAACGCCTATTCATACCTGTAACTCTATAGAGTTATTTTGTTAATTATTTTCCTTAGCTGGATGAGACGAAGAGACGGCAGGTATGGGAGAAGAATCTGAAGCTGATCACCACCCATAACATAGAATACTCCCAGGGAAGGCACACGTATGATCTGGCTATGAACCACCTTGGAGACATGGTAAGAGGCCACTTAGAAGCCACATATGGGACTCCTATGGTCTGTTCTATGACTGGGGGGCAGAAACATACATATGTTCTATGTGATTTTAAATATAAGAATCAGTGTAAATATGTACACAGATTATCTTTAGATGTACTGTAACTGTAATGCACTCCCCTCCAGGTCTTATATTCACTTGTTCCCAATCCAGCAAAGTATCGGCTGTGTGTCCTTCTCAGCCCCACTAGTCAAAGTCTTCACCAGAGCATGACTAGCACATTGGGATTTCTTTTTAGTTTGAACGTTTTTTTTAAACATTTTCTAACAGAAAAGTAACATTTCATTTCTAAATGAATTAAATATTGGAAACCTGCATCTTGTACAAAGAGTGTAGCAACAGGGATCGAAAGCATTGCACCTGCAATGGGCCTCAGCTTGACGATAGGCTTGAGATGGTTATCATATCCAACTTTGTTGCCCAAAAATGAATTGTAAAGCACAGCAGCTAAAATGAGAGATGGGAAATCTGAAGGTGAATTAGACATTGACGGAGTCATCTGTAATTAGTGATATCACATGACCAAACCCTGGGAAAGCATAGGGAATTTCCACCGGACTTTATTCAGACTCTTTGCCATGTATAATCTATCTTTCAGAATTACAATACCATCTGCTCTGGCACACATTGCCAAAACTTTGTTTTATTTTTGGGCAGTAAAGGAGGAAGTGTGGGCTGTGGGGCTAACAGTAAATGAGTGAGCAATA